TACAGTATTTAAAACTATCTGGGTTGATTAAGCCTAAATAGACAAAACAAGTGAATTAAAGAAAAAGCAAACTTAATGTTTCCCGGCCTGATCCCCCCCCCCCAACCAGAGATTGAACTCAAGCCCTTGCACTTACCAGGCAAGCGCTTATTCTACTGAGCCATCTCCCTGGCCCTTCCCTGCCTGATTTTAAAGTTTAGTTTTAAAAAAGTATATCATAGAAATGATTTAGGAAATGAAAAATAATAAAAATACGTTTAATATGGTCTTCTAATATTTTCTACATAGAATTTCACCTTAGAGTGGAAATATGATAAATACTGTCTGGTAGCTCTTTGAGAATTTAATGAGGTCTGTCTTGTTAGATGGAATTTCAAAGTAGCCATTAAATATAACAGTGCCAATAAATTAAGCTTCAAATATAGTTTATCTTTTATAAACATGCCTCACTGAAATGGAATACCTCTGTAATACTGATCACTGGGCTCCAAATTATTTAAAGATGTGGATATTCTAAATATATCAGAGTAACATCATTAGCTTATAAATATAATTTCAAAAGAACATGCAAATATTAAAGGAATAAGCATAAAGAATGTTTCACAAAAAAAAAAAAAAAAGAATACCACATGATTGTAAACCAAAAAAGTTTGTTTTTTCATTTCATTTTATTTTATTTTTTTGTGGTGGTACCAGGTATTGAACTCAGAACCTTATTCCACTGAGCTATCTCCCAGGTCAAAAAGCAGTTTAAAAACTGGCAAATTAAGTTTTAACAAAGACCAGCATTTCCCTACTCAATGCAAATATCAATTCTCTTTCAATAAAAAATATTTGAACACCTAATCTAAAATGTAAAGACCGATATATTCCACACAATGTGCTACTAACAACATATATACACCAAGTGTTAACATAATATTAGAATAGAGATGATCCTGGCAAAGGTTTTGAAGGATGAGCAGGAGTTTGTTTTGTGGGAAAACAAGAGATCCCCTCTGAGAAGCATTAACAAAGTAGAAATAATGTTTCCAAAGCTATAGTTAGTTCAAGCTAAAATAAAAAATGCACTTGAGCGTGTACATACAATGCTAGTGTTTGAGAACTAATTCTAAGAAGGCCTTGCAAAGCACAATATAGTTATTATTACTTATTCATAGCAATCTAATATCATCTCCCAATCTTAAAACTTTAACGTTGCCATTTCCAAATTTCTGTATCTAACCTAAAAGTTCACTCAAGAACTCCAAACTCTGGTATCCAAAGTTATCTCTAATAGGCAACCCAATCTAAATATATTGAAAACTCAACTTCTAATCACCTCTCTGCATAGTTTTTCATGCAGCTTTCTCTTGATGGCCTCTCCATCCTTGGATGCATATGCTTATTTCCTGTCAGTCGTATCTAAGTGACAGACTCAAACATCTGCCTTTCTTCCTTTAGTTTTGTCAGGCTTTCTTAAGTTGCCTTCAAAGAAAGTTTGGAAATTTTCCTCATTTTCTTTTTTTTAGCTCAGCTCATGTTTGCTTCAGTATTTTCAATTTTTAATGGAATAAGAGCACAGGTATCGAGCGCTGACATGAGGTAGTGGTAATTTGACCCAATTTTGAAATGTCCCTCTTTTTGCTACCAATATTCATTTTAATTTAGCCAATTACACATACACCTTTCACATAATTAGTTACTGATATTCACCTTAGTCCATCACATAGACGTATAGCTTTCATATAATAAGGGCATTTTAAACCTTTTTTTTTTCCCTAAAAGGAAGGGAGGGAGGGAACTTCTGTGTATCTTCAAGTGCAGCTGGTAAGGTGGCGTTATCCTGTATTGCTAGTTACTTAGGAGGCTGAGCAGAACTGCTTGACAGGAGTTTGAGGCCTGGACAACATCCCTATCTCTTTATAAGTAAGTAAATAAATAGCAAATGAAGCAAGTCTCTTATAAACAGCATATACTTGACTCCTATTCATTTAACATGTCAATCAGAGTTATTTAGTTTAGTTAGACTTAAGTGTCATTATAGATTGTACAAAACCAAGCCTACCAGTTTGCAATTTTCAGTTTGGATCAACTATTAGCTGTTCTTTACTTGCCAGGTTTTTTTTAGGAACCAATTTTCTATGGGATTTTAACTTTAAATGCATTTTTTGGTGTTTTGTTCTATGAGCTTTACCAAATACTATTTCTATTATCATGTAATCCCCATTATAGAAATCTGTATAATTATATAATCATGTTATCAAACACAATTCTATGACCCCAAGAAAATTTTCTATAATCTTTTATAGTTTAATTCTACCACTCCTAAGCAACTACTAATCTCTTCTGTTCCCTGTAGCTTTGCTATTTCAAGAATGTCACATAAACAGTATCACAAAATAGTGATTGGCTTTTTATTCAGCACAACGCCTATAAGGCTTACCACACTATTTTATCAATACATTGTTAATCTGAGTA